TTTTTTTTTTTTTTTTTTAACCAGTCTCTCAGGCTAGAAATTTTGTAGTTATCTTTGCCTCTTCTCTCCTTCATCCTGTAAATCCTACCTGTTGGGAATACACTCCTGTCCCTTCTTCAGAACGTTTTATCTGTCTTATTTTTCATTCTCTGCTATTAACTGTGACTTCATACTCAGTTCCACTGCTGCCTAGCTTTCTGTGCCCTGCTAGGTTCATCATTATCCACCCAACAAACACAAAAGGAAAACTGTTTCTACTCACACACTTCTGATACCAAATGTGTGGGTTTTCCACACTAAGCAGTTCTCCAGTTATCTGCAGATACAAACCAGTGTCCTGCAATTCAGTTCTGACACTAGTACCAGAGTTAGCACAAACCCCATAGCTAAAGGACTCACAAGGCTGTTCTCTACTTCGAATGCCAGTTGCACATCCTGGGTGCCCAGAGCATCCAGACTTCTGACCAACTTGGCTACAAATCAGGGGGTTCCCATGGCTCCCTCTTCAGGTTCAATAGTTTGTTATAAAGGTTCACAGAACTCAGAGAAATGTTATTTATATGAAGGATACAAATCAACAACCACAGGAAGAGGTACATAGGGCCCTGTCTGGAATGTCCCCAGTGCAGGAGCTTCTGTCCCTCTGGAATTGGGTGTGCACCACCCTACCCATACATGTATGCGTTCACCAACCTGGAAGCTCTCTGAACTCTCCCCATAGTCCACCCATTGGTTAGGGTTTGTATGGAGGTTCCATTATGAGGGCATGACTGATTGCTGATTAAACTCAGTCTTCAGTCCCTTTCCCATCTCCAGAGGTTAGAGGGTGGGGCTGAAAGTTCCAAATTTCTAATTATGGCTTGGTCTTTTTGATGACCAGCCCCAACCTTGAAGCTACCCAGCCCACCAAGAGTGTCCTAGTTAGAACAAAAGATGCTCCTATCACTCAGGAAATTGCACAAGATTCAGGAGCTCTGTGTTGGGAACCAGGCAAAGAGAACAAATATATTTACTGCCACAAGTCCTTATTTCTCATTATTTACAAATGTAGTTTGTCCTCATGATCCCCTTACACACAGTTCCACTTCCTACCTTGGCTGAAGCCACATCTCCTCTTTATCTGAAATGGTCTTATCCAACTCCTAACCAGCCTTCTCTATTCCCCCATCAAGACTGTCAGTGGAACTCGGTGGCTCACACCTGTAATACCAGAACTTCTGGAAGGCCAAGGTGGGTGGATCATGAGGTCAGGAGTTCGAGACCAGCCTCAAACTAACATGCTGAAACCTTGTTTCTACAAAAAATACAAAAATTAGCCAGGCGTGGTGGCGTGTGGCTGTCTGTAATCCCAACTACTCAGGAGGCTGAGGCAGGAGAATCGCTTGAACCCAGGAAGTGGAGGTTGCAGTTAGCTGAGATCATACCACTGCACTCCAGCCTGGGCACAGAGGGAGACTCCGACTCAAAAACAAACAAACAACAACAAAAATTTACTTGGAAAAAGTACACATTAGCCAACAAGTCTCAAAACCATCTGTTTCCCTTACAGAGATTATTACTAGATTGTTGCTTTGCTTCAACCTGGAGAATTTTAACTTAGAAAACTCAGGTATAAGGTTGCTCTTGAGAGAAGGTAGGATATAAAAGCTGAAGGTTGGAAACAGGATGGAGAGAGGCAAATGAGGTTTGGCAAAGAATCACTGGGAGAGAAGACAGGTTAGTGGGGAAGGGGAAGAACAGTGTGCTAAAATATGTTTAAGAGGGAAAGTCAGAATTTCATAGGGATTACCCAAAGCGTTTAAAAAAATCTCCATCACCTAATGTGTTCTGTGTTTCTAAGACCAGAGTGGGACCACAAAGGCTAACAGTTTTCTTAGATGTTAAAAAAAAAGGTTTAAGAAAGAAGACCTACTGAAAATAAGCCCCTCTTAAAATGCAAATTTTCTGCAAACAAGGGTGATTAATGAGTAGATAGATCTTGTGTTGTCTTGAACACAAAGCATGGAAGGCTACAGTATCCATATTCTGCTGATGATCTGTTTAGTATACTGCTTATTATCTTAAGCATAATAAAATATTTAAGGGCTTTCATGACTATATAATCTTCCCTCATCCAGAAAGCCTTTCAAATTGCTGAAGATAATAAATTTATCACTTTGTAGATGCCAATTTTCTTTGATGTTCTATCATCTTGCAATGCTTGCAACAGTTTATTAATTACAATTTAGTTTTTCTATGTTTATATGCTGGAGGTAAATAGGATGCTTTTTTGTAAATGGGATAAATGGAACAGGAAATTGTATCTTATACTCTATTACAAGCAAGTGCTACAATAACAGTCCTTTGGTATGGCTGGCCCGATTTGTTGCTAGGTTCTATATTTTGGCATTAAAACTGCTGTGGCAACAAGAGAAAGAGGGCTGACAAACTATGGTAAACCGGATGCTTCAGTAAGTTTGTGGAGCTGTGCCTTATAAAAACAGGAGCGGGCTGGGCACCTGAAGATCCCGAGAAAAAGGATTTCAGAGACCAAATCAGATCCTACAGAAAACCACATACACTGGTTTATCTGTACACCTTTTAAAGGACTGGCAAATGCTGCCAAAAAGATAGTAAAAAATAAACTGATGGCCGTTTTAAGAAAACGATGCAACTCGATATTTGCTATACACTGCCTCTTCCTCCAACATCCTTATTTGCCTTTCTCAGGAGTCTGAACTTGTATTCCTGGTTTGGAGATTAAGGGAGTGGTTGGAAGAAGGCAGGCAATGTAGGAGATTTGTGCATTTTATACAATTTTGAAGCTAGAAAGGGAATCAGAGGTCAAAGTGGTTCAAACACTGGTTTTGGCGGAGGAAACCAGAGCTCCAAAGTCCTAGAAGTGGGTGGGCTAAATGCAAATTTAGCAAATCATTAAACCCTTGGAGGCAACCTTTATCCCCGCTGCTGGGAACACCAGCACCGCTCAAGCTTTTCCAGTACAGAGAGGATTTCTAAAAATCCTTAGAAGTCGGCGGGCATAATTGAAAAAGCACAGAATCAGGTTTACCAAGACAAGAGTCTAGCCCTACATCTTCCGTGCTTCTCAGCCAATCCATCTCCAACAAGACTCCTCGCCTCCCTGGGCTCTTTATTCCACATAATTTTTCTTTTCTACAGCAGGCAAAAGTGGTTTTGTCCTTTCTGTTTTAGGTTATTAAGGAGGCACGGTGCAATGTATTGGGGGAACAAAGGAAAAAAGCTCCTATTTGTTCGAAGAAAGCAATCTGACTACAGAGGCCAAATCTACAGACATTCAATGATTTAAACTACAGGATAACCCGGTACTACCCCCTTTTTCACGTTCTATATCTTTCCTGAAGCGAAAATCTGGTGCTAGCCAGGACCAGTACACACCCCCAGAGCTATTTCATTCCATTGGCTGGCAGGCCATCCGCAGCCTACACCCTGTAGATTTACTGTCAGGACGCCCGGTGTTTATTTTTCAGAGATATTACACTGCTCGTAAATTTTTGTGTTTTTCCTTTTTTTGAGGGGTACAAAACAACCTGTCAGAATGGGAAAATTACTTGATTGAAACGATTAAAGCGCGATTAGAAAATTCCTTTGGTTAATAAAACTAAATTTCAAACATAGAAGCCAAGTCATTTTCTATGTTCCCGTATCATCTGTCACTGTTAGGACAGGTGTGAAGAAAAATCAGAAAACAATTTGATAGTCTGCATTTAGGGGAGTCACAGAAGCCCGAGAACATTGACAAGGCATTATCAAACCGGCCGGTCATTCCCTTTCGTAGCAGTGCATTTCCACAGGACCCGCCGACACCGGGACCACAAGGAGACCCGTGCAGCGTCTACTCAGCGGGCAATCTCAGCATTTGCAGAGGCCCGGGGTGACGGCGCGGGGGAGGGGGCAGGCCAACTGCCTGATGGTCTCAAGGTGGAAAAAATCACCCTCCACAGAGCCGACCACATCCAAGGCGGGGTGACCCGGGAGGGGACCGTGGGAGGGGGACGCCGCCCTCCCCAGCTGGGCTGGGCTGAGCAGCGGCCCCGCACCGGCAGGAGGCCGAAGAGGCAGGGCCGAGGGGAGGCAGGAAGGGCGGGACGGGGCCCGGCCGGCGCTTACCTCCTTTGCAGGGCGTGCGGTGTTGGCTGTGCTGGGCCCGGTAGCCTTCGATGACCTCCCAGGAGCCGTCGTCGCGCCGGATGGGGAAGGAGAGGCTCAGCACATGGTTGCAGGGCTTGATGATCCGCAGGATGCCGCGCACCCGGTTCCGCTTCTGCTCCTCGCTCTCCCGGGTCCTCAGGTCCTCCACCAGCTTGTCCTCCACAATGCTGGCGCCGCGGTCGAAGAAGCCCTCCACCATCTTGAAGAAGTTGGGGTCGTCCTCACGGTCGGCCACCGCCTCGCTGTAGTGGCGCCGGGCGGCCAATGCGAGCCCCGGCTGCGGGGCGGCGGCGGGCTGTCCCCGGGCCCGGCCCAGCAGCGCGGCCGAGTCGGCGGCCGCCGAGCCCAGGGCTGCGGGCCCGGCCCGGGACAGCAGCAGCGCTTCGCCCAGGTAGCGGTACATGGCGGCGGACGAAGGCGAGGTGCGAGATGGGCGCGGAACAGGCGCGCTTTCTAAGAGTCCCCGCGACGAGGGAGGAAGGGCCCTGCGCGGGTTGCCCTTTTAAGCCGCAGCTTCCTGCCTGTCCGGCTGTCCCCTCCCCTCGGGCTCTTGCCACCTAACGGGAGGACGGACTTCGGGAGCCGGGCGCCGCCCAGGGCGCCGGGCCTCCGCCTTCGCCGCGGCCTCGCCCGGCCTGGCAGGCGGCGGCGCGTGCCGGCGGGGCGTCGGGAGCGCGCAGGCGCGCAGGCGCTGGCGGGCTCGGCGCGCAGGCTCGCGCACCCGGGGGGAGGAGCAGCCTCGCGGGCGGCGGGATCTAGAGAGAGGCCGCCCCGCCTCGGGCTGGGCTCTCAGGTCTGTACGCAGCAGGGGTAACCGGGGGCCGGGGTGAGCAGGGAAGTGGGGCTGGCTCTGTGGGGCGCTGAGAGGTCGAGTCCTGGGGAGTGCGGCACGGGTGAGGCCTGGCGGTCTGGCCGCGGGCCAGGGCGAGTGAGTCACGGACACCCCTCCTTCCGCCCGCGCGCACTCGGAACAGGCGGCCCACCCGGGCCTTACTGGCGGCCTCAGGCCTGGGCTGGGTGCGCCGGGCGCTGGGACGTGGGCAGGGAAGCGAGGCGGAGCCGAAGGCCGGGCTGAGGGCTCCGCACGGCTGCGGAGAGCCGCGCGACACCCGGAGTTGGATTGTGCGTGGCTGGTAGGAGCTGGAAAGGAGCCACTCACTCACGAACTCTGACCACGCGAGCTGTTCTTGAACCACTGAACTGCTCCGCAGTGTAGAGATCGCATAGTTAGGCACATTGTGGTTGTGTCGCCCCACAGCACTGACTGCTTTACCTTTGCAGACAGAGGCTCTGGGCCGGCGCGGTGGCTCACGCCTGTAGTCCCGGCAGTCTGGGAGGCCGAAGCGGGAGGATGGCTTGAGTGAGCCAAGGAGTTCGAGTCTGCAGTGAGCTACGATCGCCCCACTGCACCCCAGCCTGGGCGACAGAGGGAGACCTTGTCTCTTAGAAAAAAAAGAGAGGTTCTGAAATAGTCTAAAATAAAACAAGGGAACTGTAGAAATGCGATAATGCCCCCAGGAAATTCTTTCTCAGGAAGATACTTTTTAAATGGTTCAGTATATGATTTATTTTTTATTTATTTTTTTGAGATGGAATCTCCCTCTGTCGTCCACGCTGGAGTGCAGTAGTGACATTCAGCTCCGTCCCACTGGTTCCAGCGATTCTACCTCCTCAGCCTCCCGGTTAGCTGAGATTGTAGGCCCACCCCACCACGGTCGTCTAACTTTTGTATTTTTAGTAGAGACGAAGTTTCTCCAGCGCTTGACCTCAAGTGATCCACCCGCTTTGGCCTCCCAAAGTGCTGGGATAACAGGCGTGAGCCACCAAACCCAGCCCTAGTATTTGATTTATAAACTTTAAGCTATATGAAGGTTCAGTTATGTACTTAAACATATATTTTATAGGAAATGCTAAAGTTACGCATTCCTGTAGATAACTTTGGTGCTTTTAAAGCTAATTAGGCTGTGTGGCCCGGCGGCCCACACCTGTAGTCCCAGGGGCCAAGGCAGGCGGATCGCTTGAGCCCAGGGACTTCAAGACTAGCCTGGTTCCTCTCTATAAAGAAAATAAAAAGGGCCGGGCGTGGTGGCTCACGCCTGTAATCCCAGCGCTTTGGGACGCCCAGGCGGGCCTTGGCCTGAGGTAGGGAGTTCGAGACCCGTCTGACCCACATGAGGAAACTTGGTCTCTACTAAAAATACAAAATTAGCCTGGCGTGGTGGCGCATGTCTGTAATCACAGCCACTGGGGAGGCTGAGGCAGGAGAATCTCTTGAACCCGGGAGGCGGAGGTTGCGCTGAGCCGAGATCCCGCCATTGCACTCCAGCCTCGGCAACAAGAGCGAAACTCCGTCTCAAAAAAAAAAAAAAAAAAAAGTGTGTGTGTATGTGTATATGCATATAAAGCTCTAATGACAGTCGTTAAGACGAGCTGCCAAACGCCACATTACTACTGTTAGCGGTACTTGGGTGGTTTTAAAATGGCACCCATTTGACCTGCCAAACCACTGTGCTTCCTGATATGCCCACGTTATTCATCTTTTAAAATACGGAAGAGAAAGTTCTTAGTTCTGGAAATACTGTGTTAGGGCCAGGTGCGGTGGCTCACGCCTATAATCCCAGCACTTTGGGAGGCCAAGGCGGGTGGATCACGAGGTCAGGAAATCGAGACCATTTTGGCCAACATGGTGAAACCCTGTCTCTCCTAAAAATACAAAAATTAGCTGGGTGTGGTGGCCCGTGCCTGTAATCCCAGCTACTCCGGATGCTGACGCAGGAGAATCACTTGAACCCAGGAGGTGGAGGTTGAAGTGAGCTGAGATCGCGCCACTGGACTCCAGCCTGGCGACAGCGAGACTCTGTCTCAAAAAAAGAAAAAAAAATTGTGTAAAATATAAGGTGACAACCCTGATCTGTTAGTGTACTCTCAAAAATTATCTTTTCATACAGGTGGAGCTTATATTTTATCTTATTTGCTAAATACATGATAGTCATTAATTGTTTTCCACTGTGTTTTTCAGTGAAAAATAGACTCTGACCTGAGTCCTGCATTTTCCTTGATGGTCAAAAGATTAAGGTATTGAATTTCCTTTTTACTAGATGAATTATCGTTTTACTCTTTTACATTGCAATCCCCCAACCCTGCAAAAAAAAAAACCTGCAAAGCTTCAGAATAACATGACTAGCATCAGTAAACATATGGAAATATCTTTCTTTTTGGATTAAATTATTTAGTATGTTCTGAGAAAAATGGTTTAAAAGCTTAGTTTATTGTTTTCGTTTCTCTCTCTCTCTCTCTTTTTTTTTTTTTTAATAACCATAGCCTTCAGAATAATAAATTTTAACTTGATTCCTCTGTGGCCTGTTCACCTGAATTCAAGAAGGTGGAATTGGGCCAGACGAGGTGGCTCATACCTGTAATCCCAGCACTTTGGGAGGTTGAGGCAGGTGGATCACTTGAGGTCAGGAGTTCAAGACCAGCCAGACCAACATCATGAAACCCTGTCCCTACTAAAAATACAAAAATTAGCCAAGCATGTTGTGGGGCATACAAAAATTAGCCAGGCTTGGTGGGGAGTGCTTGTAGTCCCAGTTACTCGGGAGGCTGAGGGAGGAGAATCACTTGATCCAGGGAGAGGGAGGTTGCAGTGAGCTGAGATCATGCCGTTGCACTCCAGCCTGGGTAACAGAGTGAGACTCCATTTCAAAAAACAAACAAAAAAACCCCGCAGAATTGAAGAAGCTTTGGAAGAGGTAAGGAATATTTTTTATTGAGAGTCTCCTATGTGTAGGTGCCTTACAGAGTGGTTTTATGAGTACCCTATGAAATAGATGCTTTTATTTTTAAAATCATTATGTTGTTTTTTGTTGTTCTTGTTTGTTTTTTGAGGCAGTCTTGCTTTGTTGCCCAGGCTGAAGTGCAGTGGTGCAATCTCAGTTCACTGCAGCCTCTGCCTCCCAGGTTCCAGGAATTCTCCTGCCTCAGCCTCCCAAGTAGCCAGCATTACAGGCATCCACCACCATGCCCAACTAATTTTTTTGTATTTTTAGAAGAGAGAGGGTTTTGCTGTGTTGGCCAGGCTGTTCTCAAACTCTGGCTTCAAGTGATCTACCCGCCTTGGTTTCCCAAAGTGCTGGGATTACAGGTGTTGAGCTGCCGTGCCTGGTCATTATGTTTTAAAATTACATGCAAGTTAAAAGAATAAAAATGTGGGGCCTGGGCGTGGTGGCTCACGCCTGTAATCCAAGCACTTTGGAGGCCAAGGTGGGTGGATCACCTGAGGTCGGGAGTTCAAAACCAGCCTGACCAACATGGTGAAACCCTGTCTTAAAAAAAAAAAAATGTGAACAGTAGAAATAGGTTTAAAAAAAACAGAATGAAATTATCCATCCCTTCCCCCATTTAGTGAATATTTGGAGTATTTCTTTTCACACTAAAGTAGGTATTATAATTCCTGATTTATTAGAAGCGGGGAATGAGGCCCACCGAAATGAAACAAATTGTTGATGATCACCAAGCTTGTAAATAGACTAAGATTCAAAACTGTGTATCTGACTCCAAAGTTATACTATTTGTACTATTCCAAGAATTATTTTAAGTATCTGTTCCATTTAGTTAGAAATTATTTACTGTGATGTAAAATCTAATGAGTTTCAACTTTGCTTTTATGATTGCTTTTGTAAAATCTACATACAATTTTCAAAGTAAAGTTTTTTATTTTTGTTTTCTGAGACAGAGTCTCACTCTGTCACTCAGACTGGAGTACAGTGGCATGGTCATGGCTCAGGCAACCTTCCCTCCTCCACCTCCTGAGTAGCTAGGACTATAGATCCTCCCATCTCAGCCTCCTGAGTAGATCGGACTATAGGCGCCTGCCACCATGCCCGGCTAATTTTCGTGTTTTTGGTAGAGGTGGGGTTTCACCATGTTGCCCAGGCTGGTCTCGAACTCCACCTCAGCCTCCAAAGTGCTGGAATTACTGGTGTGAGCCACTGTGCCCAACACAATAAAGTTTAATTATTCATAGTCATTTCCCATTCAAAGGAAGACCAAAATTTAGCTTGAAGGGAATGTTTGATAGCATTCCACAAAGACAAATGGGTTTTCTGCCTCTGAGATTTATATGAATTTTCCTTAGCTGGTTTAAAATTCCAGGTCTGTTCTTCTTGACCCATAGCATGCTTTTTTCTCTCTTAAAAATATTTTCGAAGAAGATTGTTAGGATTTAGAAAAACATAGCATATAAATACACGAACCATTCATTTAAAAAAATAATTTAATTTGAAAAGATAATACATACTTTCTGCCTTCTGTCTCACTAGGTCGGTCTATTCTGGACTTTTCATATAAAAGGAGACATACAGTATGTGGCCCTTTGTGACTGTCTTCTTTCACTTGGCATAGTATTTTGAAAGTTTATACATGTAGCTTGTATCAGGTACTTCATTTCTTTTTATGGTTACATAGTTTTTGTTGTAAAAGTGTATCATTTTAGAAATCTATTCATCATTGATGGACACTTGGGTTATTTCCATTTTTTGACTATTCTGAATGATGCTGTTATGAACTTTAGTGTGTGCATATGTTTTCAGTTCTCTTGGGTGCATTTATACCTAA